ATTATCCAGATGCTGCATAGTTTATAGGAAATTACAGGGCAGCTACATTTATAGGAAATTACAAGGCAGCTAACTCGATTCAGGCATATTGGTGGAAAGAACTGTTAAAAATACTTATCAAGCATATGGATATAGAAGGGCAAATCCTGCTAAAAAGAATCAATATAGCTTCCGTAAATGGTAGAGCCTGTCTTACTAAGCTGTTGGAGTTATTTGATTGTGCCAACAAGCATGTGTTAGCAGTGAAATAAAGCAGAGATTATTTATTTAGAGTTTCAATAATGCTTGTGGCAGTTGCAAAACTGTTTTTCTGTACTGAGATGGATGATTTCAGCATCAGACAAATATGCAAGTAAATGCTAAGAAAGTATGATGAAGGACAGATTTTAGGAATGTTTTAAAACTATAATATCTATTTCCAAATTGTTAATTAGTTTCAAATGCTGCTATGATACTGATTGATCATAAGCCATATTCTATGAAAAGACATTAATTCTGCATAAAACTAGCTTTAGGTTATTCTGAAGAGACAGACTGCTTGTATGACACTGTGTTATTTTTCTGCCTCTCTGTGCAATTTTTACACATTACTTAACTAGAACCAGGATTCTTGAACTGGGTGGTTCTTGATCTGAGCTGATTTATGACATATAAAATCCTTGCACATTCTTTAGCAATGGGGCAAAAAGTAATGTCAAAATCTGGTAATAATTACAAAAAAAATCAAAAGAAGAAAACCCATTCAAAAAAAAAAATCTAGTTATGGGATATTGAATGCCATTATATGAAATCAGAAATACACTTTTGTCTTGAATGCAGTGTTCAGCTTAGAGCACATGAAAAACAGAAGTCACAAAAATTAATTAAAATATATTATTGAAGCTGAAACTGATTATTTAATAGTAAGAATTATCTCAAAAAAAAAATCCCAAACCAACAACAAAAGAGAAAGAAAATTTGTTTCTGAAATTAGAAGTTAATTATGTTGATTCTAAGGACTTAGCTATACATTGTGTTTAGACAGTTTCAGCTCCCCTTTACTCATAATTAAATACAGGTAGTGCTTGGTTAACAATCGCAATTGGGACTGGAACTGCCAGTGCTAAGCAACATGGTTGTAAAGTGAGACATCATGTGACTGTACCACTTAGCAATAGCAGTTCTGGCAGTCCTGGTTGCCACTGTTAAATGAGGACTGTGTGGGTTGTTAAGCCAGGACTTCACACGACTGCAACTTCCAACTTCCTGCCGGCTTCCCCACTGACTTTCCTTGTGGGAAGCCAACACGGAAGGTCACAAATTGCAATCACGTGATCTCAGGACACTGCAACAGTTGGAAATCCAAGCCAGCTTCCAAGTGTCCAGATCATGAGAATGTGACTGTGGGGACACTGCAACAGCTAGAATTCCGAGGATTGGTCGTAAGTCCTCCTTGTTCAGCTCTGTCTCCAGTTCGAATGGTTGCTGAATGAATGGACATAAGCCAAGGCCTACCTGTATTCAAAAGTGAAATATGGATACAGATAAAGACCATGCCATCCCCCCTCCTCATATATACTCCCCTTTGATAAGGGTTTATAAAAGGAAAAAAGAAAAGAAAAGAAAGAAACCTTCCTCTCTTGGTACCAGCTAGGGGAAGGGATTATCAAGAGGGAAGCAGTTCTAAACCAGAACAATAGAACTGGTGGCTGCAGGTTGCCAGCTGCTCCCTAGAGTTTGGGTATGGCTGGCTGAAGGTTACCACCAAATTATAATTTCAGTGCAAAAGAGGGAGAAATAATTAAATACCTGGGATAATAATGTCAACTTTACTGAATTGTTTAATTTTAATTTCATTTCACTCTTATCCTGACTTTGGGATTGTGACATCCAGCATGCCAAAGGCCAAGAAAGTTGCAAGCCCATGGAACAGAGTATTATGTGGTAAAAGGCATTTTTACCTTTCCTGAGAATTCTACCTTAAGGATAAGGGGCGCTTTTATGTGTACAAAAGTAAGGAGTAGCTAATTCACTGATTGCTGTCCATTGTCCATATGTAAGAAAATTAGATATAAAAAAGGTAAGATATGCAATCAGGCTTGGAGAAATAGTTTAAGAAAGCAAAGCCAGCTGCCCTACTGACCTCCAGCAGTAAAAACAAATGCAGAATTCACAATATCCAGCAACTGTCTAGAAGCAGTAGGAATTACTATTGCCTAATCAAATCACCACTAGGAGAACTCAGAAAGAACCATGGGGCCTATCAGTGCTTATTTGAAGAGGTCCCTCTCACTTCAGTTCTTCAGCTTTTATCAAAACTACTGCTGCCATTCTTTGGTTTTGAATTTTTTTTTTACTACTTGCAAATTGCTATCATAGACGAGTATATTAAGCATGTAGACTATTTATAACGGCTACAATTATTCATTAAGGCTTTTGTATAAGGAAAAGGCTAAAACCAAAGAATTTTCATGGTTCAGTTCCACCTGTCTTTTCATGCAGTCCAAGACATGATTTGTTCCCTGGATTCATTATATAATTTCTTCAAACTAGACTTATTACAAGTGCTTTTGTTGCATTTTAGATTTAATGCCATTACATTATACTCACAATGGATAGTTTCTGAAATTTGCAAAACTGCCTCATTAATATCCTCATCATACAATAAATCTTAGTGTGGGGATATTCACTATCAAGATAACTTCTTCCAATATTTGTGTTATTTTGATAAGGGGAACACAAAACTTTCCTTATCTTGTTCTGCATGTAACCTGAGTGCATACAGATGGAGTTTCTGGTCAGTACATTCCCAGCACAATTACGTATTTTAATGATGCAGGTATTTCAGTTAGGTTTCGTAACCAAATACAGGTTGTTATGTCATTCATAAATTGTTAAGACTTATTGCTAAAACAAAACTCAGTTTATCTATTGTTTTAGTGAAGCCGATTTGCTAACGTAATTAATAAAATGAATTACATAAAAAGTACTACTGAAATAACAACAACAACAATAATAATAGAAACGAATCTGGAAAATTAGGGTATATACAAAATAATATCATTAAAAAAACATCTTCCTTGCTAATTTATCAAAAAAAAAAAAAAAAGAACCGACCAGCAACCAACCCACAACAAATCCAATGTTGAAAGACAACACATGCAACACACTGCTGCAGATCAGGTGGGATGATAATTATTTTAGCCAAGCCTGGAACATTCACAATTCCTGATATCTTGATATTCCAAATACGGGGGACATAGCCAAGAAGACCATATGTATCTTTAACACACATTTCTCCAGAAACATGCTGATGTCAGCTCAAAATACAACAATAATAGGAGTATTCTGTACTTTATAATTTTATAATAGGAATACCAGTTCAATTCCAGGCCATTCAAATTAATTTTATATTCATTTTTATTGTCAGATTAGAATGACATAATTTGTTTAATTTAATTTTAATTTGTGAAAATGTTATTTTATTGCATGTTCAGCCCATCAATCTAACTATTTTATAGCAGTTCTATTGTGCCATTGACCATAATGAAGAAAGTCAGTTTATCAAGACTGTAAGTTGGCTGTTTGGATGGACTCAACTTCCTACAGTTGTTCTGAATATATATATAT